AGGAAACCTGGAGAGATACAGAACTCGCCAGGAGGAGGAGACTTCGCGCTGTGTGAAGATCTCCAAGCGATGTGGACCCTTGCGGACCCAACGCACCTTTCTTAAGCAGGCAACGGAGGTCCGTTTAGCTTCTAGCCTCTCCCCGTCACCGAGCGCAATCCTAGACATATCCCTATCCTATATACCCAATTTTCGAACCCACGGAGTCTTAACAGCTCCGGGGGACCTGGGAACTGAACAGAACCCACGGAGATTCAGCCACTCCGTGAGGAAAGAATTGCCGAACCCACAGAGCTTAAACCACTCCGGGGTCAAAGAACCGAGTTTGTCAGAGTCCTCCAACGAGGATTCAAGCGGAGCTGCGCCTGGAAAGCTGTCCAGCCTACACCGCGACCACCTTGGGTGTAAGTAAATAATCTTTTCAATCAACCATTACGCCTCTGTAACTGATTCTAGCTCGCGCGTACCTTACCGCCCCGCGGTTTTCTTCGGCCCCACGTGCCTGGGCTGCTGGCCACAGTCCACGTGTGCAAAGACGGGCCCGGCTCGCACATGGCGAGGATGGGATCGGGAGCTGGCCCGCACAATGTTCATCTCGGAGTCAATAATGACTCCCAAGATCCCTTTCCGCCTCTGTGCTTTCAAGAAGGGAACTCCCCAGCCTGTATGTATGCTGTGGATTCCTTCTCCCAAGGTGCAGCACCCTGCATTTGTCTACATTGAACCCCATCCTATTCTCATCTGCCCACTTTTGTAGTCTGTCTAAATCTAGTTGCAGCCTCTCTCTCCCTTCAAGTGTGTCCACCTCACCCCACATCTTAGTGTCATCAGCAAATTTGGACAGCATTCTTTCCACCCCCTCGTCCAAGTCGCTGATTGATCATAGTTATCTTTCACAGACCCCTTAGACATAGTCTGTGGACCCCACAAGGGGTTTGCGGCCCACAGGCTGAAAACCACTGCCCTAGACTGAATAAGGCCAGTTCCCTCAGCTTCTCCTCTTAAATCACGTAGGCCATGTGGGCCAACAGGCAGTATAATCTCCATTCACAAAGACAGGCCTCAATCTCCCGCCTCTCCCAGCTCCTGCCAGAGGGGAAAGATGGGTAGACCCTTCTGGGGTTTGTGGGAATTCCATACATATACACTTGATCTGAGCCTTCAAGAGGCTGAGGGGTGGGGTGGGGTATAGAAACTGAATGAAATTTCCAATAAAACCTGTTTGTGTGCAATGATCATTTACTGGACCACATCATTTCTCTGCATAGTCAGAAATTATGAGTGTTTGACAGTGTTGCCATCCGTGTTCCCTGCTAGTGTAGTTTCCCACTTTATCACAGACATGCAGCATTTTACCATTAATTTCTGAAACACACTCATACTTCTCAAGTGATTTGCTGCTCTGGGTTTTAATTAGGAGCTACTCTTAAAGACCACATTGAAGCTTTAAGTTGTGCAAAATAAATACACACTAATTTTTAAAGACATGACAGCTGCTTTTCAGAGCCCTAGTTACTTTGGGGGGTGTTATTTCTATGTCATCAATTTGTAGCTAAACAGTTTCTGAAGAATTATTCCGTTACTCTTTTGGTTGTGAGATCTGTTTGTTGACATTCTTTTAATGTTCAAGAAGTAGAGGAAAATGGTTTTCAAAAGGCCTCTGTACTTTGCTTTCCCATAAGGGAGAATACAAGTTTGTAAACTACCTGGGCATGATGTCAGACTTGTCTACTTCGCCTTTTGCATGTTGGGAGGAAATTCATTTAACCTGAAGATAAATTACAGTATTGGGATCAAAGCAAGAACACACAGGTATATGCAGTTACAATAATAGCCATACACTGGAAAAGTGACAAGCCAGCTGCTTCTGAATATAATAAGCTCAACAGTATTAACTCTTTGAAATGTCACCCAGGCAGGATGTCCCATTTTTTCACATCAAATACTCTTTTTAATAGAAGAATTCAGCAACACTTAACATCCATTGGGCAGCTGTTGTGCAGACATTGAAGTCTACATAGACCAGAGATGTTTGCTCAGCCCCTGTTCCAAGGGCCATATCCAGCCCCCTCTGTCATGTAATGTGGCCGAGGGAGCTCCCCACTGGTCCAAAAATTTGGTGACAAGGGAGTGGTGGCACCACTCCCCTGCTGCCAAATTTCTGGACCCTTGAGCCCTAGACCCTGTATGATAGATACCCAATCCCAACGCACAGGGGTGGGCAGGGGCAGCACCAGGCTTCAGGGGTTGATCTCAGTACACAAGGCCCGATCCAGGCACTTGATCGGCAGGGCTGTTGGGGGCCTAGTTCCAGCATGTAGGGCTGAATGGGGGGCAGCATGGAGCCCCCAAACTGATCCTGGCATGCAAAAGTGGCACCAGGAACCAATCCCAGCACACAGCACTGGGAGGGGGTGGGATAAGGCACCAGGGCCTGTTCCTAGTGCATGGCACTCAGGGCTGGTGCAAGGCCCCAGGGCCCAATCTCAGTGCACTGGCATCAGATGCTGGCTGGGCAGGGTCTTATCCTGGTGCATGGGGGTCAGCTGAGGCCACATGGGCAGGTGTGCAGGGAGGGCCAGGCAGAGACAGTGCAGGCCTGATCCTGGCACGTGGGGCTTGATCTGGCCCACAGACTGGCCCCACATCACTCCTCTGACCTGTGGAGCCAACATTTTGACCAGAACTGACACAGACTATTCCCAAGACAAAACGCTTTTGGCTTTCACTGTCCCTTGTCTTCCATGAAGCATTGTCTTGACAATCCATTGGAAGCTTCCTCTATCCCTCCCTCTATCCGTGTGACCATGTAGGGGAACATAGTAGTCAACTATTTTTTATTCTTCTGCTTTTTCTAAGAGAATGAAGACATTGTGTCCATATTCATCTTTGTTATCTTGTTCCGTTTCAGGTAGAGTGGCCACTGACACATCCCCAGAATACAGGACATCCCCTTGGTAAGGTGTGGGACCACTGGCCCTCTCAACCAATCAGCGATGAGGGGCAGGGCTGATACCTCCTTGGCCAATCAGCAGCAAGGGGTGGGGCTACCACAAAAAGGCAGAAAATTGTATCAGCCTTGACTTATTGCTCACCATATTATAAAATATTAATTCTTTTTCATTTTGCACTTTTATAGACATTTAATCCAGACAGTAGAAATTTTGTTCATGAGTACCAAATTAATAAAAATAATTATTATAACTTTATTTGGATTATAACATTTATTAATTTTCATTCTATACCAATAAAGTAAAACCAACAAAAATAATAAAATATAAATAAATAAAATACAATAAGAAAGCAAAATCATAGCATTACAAATAGATAGCTAAACATACATACTATAAACTTAGTCTTAGTCAATACTAATTTAAATAGAAATAACACTACAACTCATTATACTAGGCAATACCAAAAAAGTGTTTGTACTTTTGCCCGTCCCAGGCCTCTTTCAGAAGGTTTTTGTTCTTGAAGAACTCGGAATACATGTCCTTACATCCCCCAGTTAAAAGTACGCATATCTGGAGATCTGCTTTCACACTGCCTACCTCCAGCTGATTCCTTTCATTTTTTCAAGCTGCTTTAACACTGTCTACCTCTGGTTTATTCCTTTAATTTCTCCAAGCTGTGATCATCAGAGAAAAACGTCTCTGTATGAGTACTGCTGCATGGTATTGAAAAGATGAAATAACTTATTTTCATCAAGATTCTCAAGTTTCCCTGTGAACCCAGGAATCTGCCCTGGCCACACTCTGGTCAGGGCTGGGCAGAGTGGGGTTGGATGCCTGTGGCAGTGTAGCCAGATGCCCGGTGGAACCATCCCTTTTTTCCCTAGGAGACAAACAGGTTTGCCTGTGCAGCAGGACACCCCACAGACTCACTGGGCTGCTCTGTGGGTAAGAAGACAGTGACAAGAGCCTCCTCCCAGTCTCACCCGCATTCCAGCAGATACAAATGCAGTGCTCCACCTGCTTGATCTCAAAAACATAGCCTTGTGCTGAGGCAGTGCAGGGGGTGTGTAGGTAGCCCAACTGCCCGGCCCTAGCAGCTCAGCTGCCCCTGGGGCCCGGGGCGACCTGCACAGGCCCAGTTGAGGATCAGGGAGCTCAGGCATGCAGCAGCACCACAGCCTTTGCTCTGCCTGCACATGCACTGCAGCTATGACTCCTTCTGCAGGTGCAGAATGACCAGCCCCTGGGATCTTCCACCTCCCTCCCTAGTTGGTTCTCAACCATGCTCCTCCTGGCTGTGCACCACCCTCTCTCTAGGCACAGCCAATATAATTGACATGTATTCCCACCAATGAACTAAAAAACAAGACTTTTTGCAGTCTGTTCCTCATTGAGAAATGCACAGGGGAGAAAGGGTTTAAAAACAAGACGGTCCAGTATAAAACAGGACCAATGACCACCCTCATTTCAGGTCCTGTTGCACTGTAGCCAGTATTCATAAACACTTGTGGAGTTTAGAGAAGTTACAAGAAATAGAAAATACATAGTTAGGCATGTTGAGCAGAAGGTGACTGCTTCCTCTTTAGTTTCTCTGGAGGATGTTCCCTTTGTGTCTATTTGTACAAATGCAAACTGCAGGCAATTCTGGGAACTGTGAAGTCAAACAACAGTTTCCAAAGTAGGGAACTACAATGGTTCAGGAGAAGACATGAGAGATGAGACACCTGAAGTCTACCTGGAACCTCATATTCTACCTTGTATGATAATTCAGAGATGAGACACCTGAATTACCATACAAGACACCTGAATTCTACCTGGAACAGACCTCTAATCTTCTGTTTTTCTTGCAAAACATCTTGGGGGTGCTAGACAAGGCCTAGATAACAGAAGTGCTTTGGGTTTCACCTGGGTAGTATTACAGGATCCAGACCAATACCTTTGAAGATCACTGTCATAGAAATATTTATTTACACTCATTTAAAATAGATAAACCTGTGTGTCAAAACAGGTTATGTTAGCTAAGATAACATTGCATTTGTAGTTTCTATTAGAACTAAAAGCTTCAATAAGAAAGCTGTTAGAAACCTGCAGGTTAGCTCCTTGGAGTTCTTCTTATACACGTACACAGTTATACTCTCTCACTTCAATATCCAGAACCTGATGTACACTCTTGGAAGGCAGTTCTACTCTCGTTTAATTAGAACTTCTTAGTCTCTCTACTCAGGGTTTTACTGATAGCTAGACTACCATAAGTGGGAATATACAGAAACACCTCAAAGAAGAAAGGTGTCTAATTCTTTTAAAGTGCTCTGAAGTGAAACCCTTTGCATATTCAGACTACCTGCCTTCCTTTTTCTCTTCCTTATATTCTTGTCATTTTCTTTTGCTTTAGTAGAAGGAACTGAGGATTTTGAAGCAGCACAACTATTAAAAACCCAATTCTAAATATAAGAGGGTCTTGAAGGTCTGGAATGGGCCAAGGTTGCTGTGCTTTTATATGTAAAAAAGTTGTTACAAATCTTTTGTAGAGGTTTGGGTTTTATGTCCCAGTCTGAAACCTGTACAGTTAAGCAAATGGTAAGAATGCATGGTGTTGCAATCTGATATATAGGGTTTTTTCTAGTTTTAACATGACTGAAAAATTAAATTCCATGAATAAACTGGAACCCACATGAACAACATGGGTCTTACATCAATGGAATACTAGCTGACTACAGCTGGGCCTCAATTTAAAAGCAGAGCTAGTGAAACAATTAGCACAGAACCATTTTCCAAACTATATATAGATTGGGGTCAACCTTAGAGTTAAAAAAAATTGGACTCTATTGAGGTCTTTCTTTTCATTGGTGACACCAGTGTGACAGGCCGCCATCCTGCCACCTAAGGTGGCACCTGACCCTACTTGCCCACCACAACTTGTTGTTCTCAGTATCTCTGGAGATGGTGCTCAGTGGTTCCTATATGGGCTCAGGAATGC